CAAAATTGCACTCCGAGTTGATGACGTGGTCCCTAGAATACTCAATTGGAGAACCACCGGAAATCAACCAACCTTTTCTTATCTGATGAATAGAAATATCATTTTGTATTCCAGATCTGCATTTGGAAGATTTTAGCTAGACTTTTATTATATTTATTTTTTCAGATTGTTTTCANCTGTATCAATACATCAATAACTAGAAGAAGTAAAGGAGGAACAACTTAAAAGGGATAGGGGGGGACTCCGATGTCCACGGACGCAGGCAGATGTACCTTGAAGCCTCTGGAGCAGCAGCAAGTATGCAACTTCATTCAAAGAATATATGAGTATTTAACCATAGATTAAACATTACAGTTTAATGCTTAGCATTCATATATTTTTTTCGCAATCTTCTAACTATTTTTGTATTGTTAAGGTTATGGGAGAGTTCAAGTCTCTAACAACATTGATCAATGATAACTTCAAGGAGCTTTCAGACCATATTCAACAAAATCAGCAAAATGAACCCATAGGGAGACGTGATGATGGCATTCACACAGATGTCAGAGATAATGTTGAGGTTTAACATTCTTAACATATTGAGCATATGTATTTAACTGTATTCATATCTGTGTTAACATTAATATATAATTGCAATTAACTGCTGTATTTAAATGTATTTCAGATGTATGTAGATGTATTCTGATTTGTAAATCTTAACATATTGAGCTGTATTTAAATGTATTTCAGCTGTATTTAGATGTATTCTGAATTGTTAATCTTGAATTTGTGTAATGTATTCTAGCTACTTATATGTATTTTACTGTATTCTAACATTAAGTTACTACACTAATAATGTTACATACAACTACCAGAAAACTACATCAGAGGTACCGTCCGACATACCATCAACGTAAGTTTTTCAACAAACTGACTAATTTTCTTTGAATAACAACATGCTGTTTCATTCAAACATATATTGTGATGTATTCAACTGTATTCATATATGGTCAGTTGCATTGAAAGGTATTAAACAGCTAGCATCAGTTTTATTCAATTGCTATATTCAGTATTAATCCCCTGTTTCAATTAAATTCAACAGTTTTAATCTCCTGAATTCTTTTGTAATCAAGGTATTTTCTATAGCTTTTTGCAGCATGTAACTTAGTTATACTCAGTTGTATTCAGTTTTATTGTGGTGTATTCAACTGTATTCATCTATGGTCAGTTGCATTAAACTGTATTAAACAGCTATCATCAGTTGTATTCAATTGCTATATTCAGTATTATTCAACATATGTATTCATCTGTATTCAGGTATTTTCAATTAAATTCAACAGTTTTAATCCCCTGAATGCATTTGTATTCAGCTTTATTAACACCTATGTTCATGTGTATTTAGCTAATTTCTGTATGCATTTGTATTCAGCTTTATTAACACATGTATTCATGTGTATTCAACTAATTTTATGCATTTGTATTCAGCTTTATTAACACCTGTATTCATGTGTATTCAGCTAATTTCTGTATGCATTTGTATTCAGCTTTATTAATCAACTGTTTTCATCTATAATATATATATATTTCAGTTGAATTCAAATGCTTTAATCAGCTGTAGTCAGCTGATTTCTATTGCATTTATCTTCAGCTGTATTCAACTTCTAAATTCAGAAGTATTTCTAAACATCTGTATTCATCTATAGTAGATATGTATTTGTCTGTATTCAGCTATATTATTTCTTAGTTCAAGCAATTAAACTCACACCATCTACTAACCTCTTTTGTGTATAGCATATGGACGTCATATTCTACTACTTGAGAAAGAAGGGAAAGTACAATCAGCATAGGGACTTCAAGTATACAACTGTTGATTGTATATTCGCGACAAGAATCGCTGAAATATACAACAAGTATGAAGATACAGATAGTGATGCTAATGTAGCCAAACAAGAGGACGTGGTATGTGAGTATATGAGGGGCTACAGATTGCATGCTAGTGTACCTTGGCATACTGTGGATAATGTCTTGATACCAGTCAACTTGAAGGACAAACTACACTGGGTATTGGCTGTTGTCACATTCAAGGAGAGATGTATCAAAGTGTATAACTCGTACAGATCTGCAGGTCATGATTACTATGTAGTTTCTGAGATTGATAAGCTAGCTAAGCTTCTTCCTCTGTATCTATCAATCAGTGGCTTTTACAGCGATAGTCAAGGCATAGATTGGTCTGCTTATCCAGCATACACTGACAAGTCACATAATGATCCATTTGAAGTTTTTTTTATTTCAGATCTGCCTCAACAGAAAGCGGGCAGTATGTAAGTATTCAATCATCATTCTTGTATGTTGTATACAAATCTAATTGTATGAATTATTTTTAATTGTTTCAATCAATTATTTTTTAGGGATTGTGGAGTGCATGTTGCAGCATACGTAGAGTTTCTGAGCACTATTGGAGAGATTCCAAAAAAAACATTTGACTCCACTCTACTCCGTCAAAGATATGGTGCTCTCCTCTGGGACTATGCTATGCGCAAGATAGACGCCGATGCCATAAGCGAGAATGAAGCACCTTCAAAGATTGCTAGGCAAATCACTGAATCGGAGGCAAAGTTGCAGATAGTTTTAGAATAGCTTTTGATTATTTTAGTTTTGGAGTGTAGTTTCAAGAAGGATACTGTTTTGAGTAGTATTGGGTGTAGATACTATTTAGTTTTAAAAACTTATCACTTATATATTTTTGTTCGTGTATGACAATTACAACTTTTCAATGACAGTTTCACTGGTTTATTCATAAGTATTCCTACTTGTCTTCGGTTGTATTCAATTGTATTCAGCTGCATCCATTCAGATATATCTTTCAAGTTCATATAATATATATGACAGAACACAACTTCAGATGTATTAAGCAGGTTGTACGTAGTCATATGTATTCAGGTGTACTCAATTGTATTTAAGTGTATTATTCAGTATTAGCTAGTTGTATTTAAATGTATTATTTAAGTGTATTCAGTTGTATTTTGGTGTATTTAATTTACTATATACTTCATATATATTATTCAGGATACTGTTTTGAGTAGTTTTGGGTGTAGATGCTATTTAGTTTTAAAAACTTATCACTTACACATTTTTGTTCGTGTATGACAATTGCAACTGTTCAATGACAGTTTCACTGGTTTATTCATAAGTATTCTTGCTTATCTTCAGTTGTATTCAATTGTATTCAGCTGCATCCATTCAGATATATCTTTCAAGTTCATATAATACATATTACAGAACACAATTTCAGATGTATTAAGCAGGTTGTACGTAGTCATATGTATTCAGGTGTACTCAATTGTATTTAAGTGTATTATTCAGTATTAGCTAGTTGTATTTAAATGTATTATTTAAGTGTATTCAGTTGTATTTTGGTGTATTAAATTTACTATATGCTTCATATATATTATTCAGGATACTGTTTTGAGTAGTTTTGGGTGTAGATGCTATTTAGTTTTAAAAACTTATCACTTACACATTTTTGTTCGTGTATGACAATTGCAACTGTTCAATGACAGTTTCACTGGTTTATTCATAAGTATTCTTGCTTATCTTCAGTTGTATTCAATTGTATTCACCTGCATCCATTGAGATATATCTTTCAAGTTCATATAATACATATGACAGAACACAACTTCAGATGTATACAACAGGTTGTACGTAGTCATATATTTTCAGATGTTCTCAATTGTATTTAAGTGTATTATTCAGTATTAGCTAGTTGTATTTAAATGTATTATTCAGATGTATTCAGTTGTATTTTGGTGTATTAAATTTACTATATACTTCATATATATTTATATGTATACAAATTCTTCAACTAAATGTATTCCAGAAATATTAACAAAAGTCATTTCAATATATATTACTTGACAAAGAGATAGCTGCTAATGTCATCATATGTATTGACAAATCGTTAACCACCACTACATGTCAGAATACAACTATTTATTACGTGGAGCATTTCTACACGTTCGCTTGTTATGTCCTCCCTGCCCACATATGCTACATGAATGTTGGTTTTTCGGCTGCAGCCGTTCACTTAAAGTTTTATCGCGCTTCTTCTTTGGCCTTCCAGGAGGTCTTTTTCATTTGGGTGGTAGTACAACCTCCTCTGCTACATGTTCTGGTATATTCCAGTCATTTTTGTCCGGTAGCGGGTACACTGGCACATCGTATGTCATTACAATTGTACTTGGTTTGTAATAGTTAGAGCAATATTCTTCTGGAATTAGAAACTTGCTCTTCAATACAACCCAAGCATGTGGGCATGGCGATTCATAAATTTGGAACCTCCCACAAACACATTTTCTCTCTAACAGGCAGACTGTATAATTCCTCCCACCATCGTTAACCGTATGTAAGTATTCATTTGATGGTACCACCTACATTTAAAAATAGAAATATAAGTTTTGAACACATTTACCTGAATTACCAAATGTATAAGGTTGAATTAATAAGTTACATATAACAGAAACATTTGCATATATATGAATACATCATATATTTAGACCAGCAAAATGTCATCTCCGAGAAGTGCAGAACTTATCAAAAGTCCGCTGTAGTTTAGGCAACAGTATGCTAACAAAAGCATTATAATCATACGTATTCACAATACATATAAAAATTACATATCATATAGCTAGTTGCATTCTGATGTATTCCAATAGTTTTTTCAGCATGTAACTTAGTTATATTCAGTTGTATTCATATCAGATCTATGGAAAAATATGCATGTTATGTGCTTGAATGTAGTTGCATTCATATATATTAATGTTAGTTTTACTTAAAAATGATTGTATTCAGTTGTATTCATGCTAGTAATTCAGAAATTAACTAAAAATATATACAGCAATGACAGTAAAATTTAACTTACCGTCATACGTGTACACATTCTCTCATTCAACTCCACCATCTCCTGGTATTTTTTCCCAAGCATCTTGTATGTCTGTGTAGCTTCTTTGCAGTTACTACAATTCCAACGTCCAAACATCTTTCTAACTTCTTCGAGGAAGTCGTATATTGGCAACTCCCTTGCTGAAACTAGTGCGGCATTGATTGACTCAGCAATATTTGACGTCATTGTCCATCCCATGTTAACAGGTGCATACAACCTAGCCCACTTTTTATAACCAGCTAACTCTAAGTATTCTTTCACCCTAATATCTACCTTCTCCACCTTCTCCATTAGACTGTCAAATTCAGCTTCTGTGTATGCTTTTGCCATCGTGAAGTATATCTCGCTCAACTTGGCATGGCTCTTTTTGAATTTCTTATATACGTTGTTCCATAGATGCCATATACAAGCAAAATGCGGTACATCCGGATACACTCTCGATACAGATTTAATGATACTCTCATTTCTATCTGAAACGATGCACATGTTTTCCCTTACACCGTATGCTATCTTGAATTGCTCAAAGAACCACGTCCAAGCAGAATCGTCCTCTGAATCAATAACACCATATGCTAGTGGCAATATATGACCTGTAAATACAATTGAATATAATTATTTCTTAATACATGTATTTCAATATTTAAAATATTAACAGATTGTATTATTATTCAGATACTCACCAGCACCATCCAACGTGCTTGCCGAAACGAATGTCCCGGTGTAGTAAGATTTTAGGTGACTTCCATCCACAACAACAATTGGTCTACAATGATCAAACCCCCTTATAAAGGCATACAATGATATATACACGTACATGAATTCATTATTTGGCGATTTTACCATTCTGATGTGGGAACCTGGATATGTCATAACCATTGTATATAAGTATCCTGGTAATTTTTTGTATGAATCAGCCGGTTCACCTCTAAGAAAATTCATTGCCTTTTCTTTAGCCCTCCACGCCAACATGTAGCTAACATCTACACCCAAATCTGATTTCACATCATCAATAATGTCCCTCGGAGTGTATTTCCTCTTATGGTTTGTAAGCTTTGGCCTTATAATATGTCACGACCCAATTTCCATACCCGGCCGTGATGGCGCCTCTCGTGAAGACAAGGCCAGCCAACTAACCCAATCCGTTTCTTTAACAATTATTAAACATAAATGTATAGATAAATATAGCTTAACGACAATAATAACCAGTATGTACAACCCAACACAACCCGACCGGGGTGTCACAAGTCACGAGCATCTAAAGAAACCTGAACACTACTACAGGGCCAATAATAATATATAAGGAAAAATCCTGGGAATCAAAAGACAACATCCGGTGCCGCGAACGCTGGCGGTCACCTTACTCAGCTACAATAGCCATACCTTCAATCAGCTAATAACCCGCTACCGGGTGAACAATACCTGCAACTGCACGCGAGGTGCAGGGAGTAAAGTGAGTACTTCCAACTCAGTGGTAATAAGAGTAAATAATAACTGAGAGGCAAGAAATCACGTAAGAGCACTCCATCATGCTATATAGGACAGTACAACCCTTTTTAGAAAACAGTAAGACCGTGAAGAATCCTTTAGAAAATATCTGGCTCAGTTTAAAAACCTCTTTTGAAAATATCCTTTTACAACAGTCAAGCAAATGAATGCGTANTTCTCCATCACCTCTTTCAATGTAACCTTATCCTTATAAACTTGTCCAGCCATAACCTCCTTTTGATTGGTTTTTGAAATTATCAAATCCTTGTGGAGTTCGAACACTCCAATCGCTTCTCCTGAATTGACAAATTCTATAGCCAGTGTATTATCAGTATCGGAATCGTACCTTTGAACTGCTCCGTCTATAAGCACTTTTTCGATAGTAGTTACACACAAAGGATACATCCCAAATTCTCTGTTCTCTTTTTTCAATTCTACATACACTCTGTAACCCATATCATTGTGTATTTCCATTGGTGTGCAATTTCCTTCTACTTTATATTGTATTTTAATGGTCTTTGAGCTCAAATCTATACCCAGTTGATTAGAAATTGAAGCAACTAGATCATTAAAGGATGCATACTCCTTAATCAGTATTCCCTCAATTGCAAAATCGATATATTGCCCTCATCGTTCCACTTGCCAGAATGACACAACAAAATTGTTAAACTTGCCATATGTATAGAGCAACTATACCTTATTTTGTATATAATTTGTATCAATCGAAAAAAAGGAGAAGAGAATTGAAGAATTTGGATGCTTTGTTTTTGCTTCTTTTCACGAAAAAAGGGAGAAGATTATTCTGCTTTCTTTGAGTAGATTATTGTGTACTCGTATTATTTCTTTGAGTTAAATTAGGAGAGTATCATGTGAATTTATTTCCTTCCATTTTTAACAAGTTTAACTTCCCAGAATTTGCGCAAAAACGTTACTGAATTTTATCTGTATTCAGCTTGAATACAGATAAATACAGATACCCCTTAGCTGGAGTTCCCGTTTTTAAGCCTATTTTTTTGGTTGTATTAATGAATACAACTACTTAAATACATGAAATACATTGTATAAAAACATAAAAGGTATCTATAACAAGTAATATAGCAAAGGGTATCTATAAATGACTAATTAGGGCTAAAAGATGGTGCTTTATAAAAAATTCTCTAAATTGAATCTAATAGAAAGTGCTTTCAAATAGCAATTCATTAAGTAAATGAAACAATTCAAAACAAAAGACAGTCCAGCTTAATAACTCGATATTTGACAAAGCAAACCACACTATCACACGTGGGATAGTATTACTAACATTTTCAACACACAACACTATGGATCCCCCTTTTTTTCTTTCATCGAATATGATCTATTACTCATATGTGTTAATGACTTATTCCCTAAATGCCTACTTTGCGCTAAAGAAGGGGTTGGGATCTTTCCTAAAAAAAAGAATTGACCTCGAACATGTCCTACTCATTCTCCTTTTCCCGTTCCTGACCCGAGTGTGGAGGGGTTAGCCTTGAGTCAGGTTCAAGCTGGCAAGTCACAGGATGAGCCTCTATAGTAGCCTGCAATGGAATGCGGCTATTTCTGACGGTCAAGTCAAAGTACGTATTTGACGATTGCCTCTCCATAACAGATGTCTTCCTCCTCATTTTTCAATAACAAATTCAAATAGGCTTGACCCTTCTGCTTGGGTTATTTGTGACAACTTTGTCTAAAAAACGAATGAGATCCACAATGCCATCATCATACAGCCAATATTAGTATAGTAGTACAAGGATAGTTCTTAGGAGGATCTTTGATATTGATACAGGAGAAAGCATGCTTGAATAAAGCAAGGAACCGATACATACAATTATTTTCACTAGTATACACTACAACTGCACTCTATGAAAATTATTCAGCTTCCACTGTCAGCTCATGTCTCTTTCTTTTCTCCAAAATCAAGAGAAGAAAAAATCTACAGTCCAGGCCAAAAGAATACAATCATTATAAAAAAAAAAAATCATTCATCTGACAAATCATTACTGTGTATGACAACTCCAAAATTGCTGTTGACTCTTTCTCCCCTCAAAACTCCATTTGGTAATAAGACATCCAGTTAGAAGACCGCGCATCTGGGGAAATTGCAGAGTTATGTGAAGAGAATTTTCCAACAATAACTATTTTACAAATTTGTACATAAATGCGATAGTGGTCAATGACACAATTTGAGAAAATCCAATGAATTGACTACAGAAAATAAGATGATATTACTCAGAATCAGTTAGCAATGAAACTCACATGAGACATTAAGATGAAACAAAAGTTACTATACTTCTGCAGTGCGCTACTTCCATACTTGTTACTATAAACTCTGGCACATTTTCCACATCTCTAAGCAAGCTCTCATCTCGCTGTGATATTTCACATTTCTCTACTACTCATCAAGACACTCTCCCCCTTGTTAATTACTAAACACAACCACACATCCACTTAATCGCAACGATATGAGTTAAATGTAACTGATTAGATGAGCAAAGACATTTTCAACAATGGAGCAGTAGGAGATGCAACTCATGCACAAATATAGGATATTATGGCATGCTGCTTGTTTAGATAGGTTGTATAAAAGTGAGTACAACAGTCTCGCACATATAAAAGAATGCGGGTGAAAGACAGTAATCTCAAATGCTTTTCTTTATTACTCTTTTTTCATCTCTTTTATCTCTCACAGAGCTTATCCCTGACCTCCGATTCATTATAGTGTCTCTTATTATCTATTCATATAAAGAGCCCAGTAACACCATATTTACCTTCAAATTAATTGTACAATATTGATGCATAGTCTTCAGGTGTCCTCTTGATTGCTCCAATCACGCCTATCCAATGTTTTTGAGATGTAGACTACTTTACAAGGAATCTATTGACTAGCTTCTGCACAGAAATTTTGTGCCAGAAACTCATCAAGTTGCCCCCAATTAGGAGGATTGGATTTACTATCAGAAGGCAACGATCTGATACATCCAAGAAGATGCTGAACATCACGATATGTTCTGTTACAAGAAAAAACAAGTTAATTAGTAATAGGAGGTAACAGATAAAGGAATAAATAAAGAACTCCCAGGGAAGGTTAGTAAAAATTAGAAATTGTATCATTCAAAGAATATCAAATAGTATTAATTACTAAATTATGTCTCGTATGAATAAAATTTCTCATTATACAGACACTAGACAGTACCTTTGTCTAGCTTGTTGACTGCTAATATCCAATCGTGAGAATGCTTCGGAAATTTGTGAGTGAAAGATGATAACCACTTGCCTGCAAGTATCAGATCTTTTAGTACCATCTTCTGCAAGCAAGGACTAATTCAAGACGTACTTATGCTTAGTATCCCACACTCATTATTAATAATGATAATCATTGGTACAAACATATTTGGTCACAAACACCTAAAGTCCCCTTTGAAGCAAGGGACAACGAGAGAGAACAATTCTTCCAGTTTCAAAGCCAGCATCCAGGGTATAAATTAGTTTAATCAATAAATATAACTGGGGAAGTAGCTAGGGAAAGCCATACTTGAGGATGTTTATATCAACAAGAGTTATATTCACTGCCTATGAGAAGCTAATCTTCTAGATAGCTCTCTTGTAAAGTAAGCATGGAGAAGTGTAAGGACGGATTACTTTTTAAGAGAATCAAAAGGAAGGGCATCACTGCTGGCGCAAGAGACCCCCCCCCCCCAAACAACCCACCCACCCAAAGGAAAAAGAAAAAGGAAAAATCTTCTCTTCTAGCTCATGGACATTTCAGGGAAGAGAACCTCAAATTTTCAAATCCTCACCTGAAAATAGCTTGAACATCTACCTCATGCAGAGTTCGAGATAACACACGTTGAAGAAGGCCGACTTCCTTCAAACAAATGAAAAAAGTAAAATGAGTTAATGGAACTTCTGATAAAACAAAGAGAACCTAAGGAAACAACAAAAAACAGAAGTAACAAGCATGTTAGAACTAAACGCAGAAACTATGCAAGACAGTGAACTCACTAGCAAGATTGCAGAAACATTAAGAGATAACTGAAGATAGGAGGACAAGAAAGACGACCAAAAAACATTGTAACAATACATCAGATCAATTTTATTTCGACAATGAGTCAAAAATCTCAGCTAATCTAGTTAGAAGGTAAATATTCCAAAAGGTGAGTGAACTCGTTAATCATCAATATATCAAGTCAACATGGCAATATTCGCATTCACAGATTGGTTCATCAATATTCCAACGTGGAAGGTAGTAATCACATCACCTTTGCACAAATGTCATGTTGATAAGCTAGAATGTATTGTTAATTGCAAAAACCTCAAATTAAAAAAGGGCAAGAACTGAGGTGAAAAAACAGTCAGACATATCACAAATAAGCTTCTACCTTTGTGATTGAACGAGCATACTGACTTGGCTGTGAGTCAGTATCTTCCTGCCTATTCCAACTCTCAACAATTTGTGGCAAACTCCGAAGGTGTACCAGCAATCTTTCCCGCATTATCTGTACCAACTTGGAATGTATTTCATCACGATGAAGTTTGTAGTCCTAATCACAGAAAGAGATTAGAGTCAAGGATTCCAGCCAATATCTTCGATTATGATGCTTTAAAAGTACGATGATCTCAGCATAGAAAAATATTTGACTGGGGCACAGTAAAACATAAAAGCAGTTGCGTTTATATTTTGATAAGCAAGTAAAGCAAATAAATATAAATAAATACAAAAAATAGTGTATGGTCAGGTATAGCTCGACATGGTCCATACTTGCATAAATAATGGTAACATCTAATAAGATGCCTTTAATTCTTTTATTTACTTCCTGGTGATCTCGTACTTGTATATGGTAAGATTAAATAGGGTACTCGCTCTCTTTAATGAGTTAAAAAAGCATATAGTAACACAGGCACGAACAAGGTGCAAAAGTACAAGCTTAACAAGAGAAGAAAGAATAAAAGCCTTGAAGTTACACTCCCCTCCCACCCCACCCCACCCCCACCGGCCCAACCCCCAAAAAAGGTGAAAAAGATAACCTGAATTACACTAGCAGAGTGAACACAAAAATGAAAAATACCCAAGGAAATTTCACAAAAGAAAATGATACATCATAAAAAACCTTGAAGGTTGACCAAGAAGCAGAAACGTTCATTCCATAAGTAGCTACCTATTAGGAAGGAAGAAGCGTGCGGGAAAGAACATAAGCAAATATCTTCCTTACCTGTGCTACTCGATCAACCTCCAGCATTAGCAATCCCTTGTGTGTCTCAGGCACTTTCAGAAACAGTATCCTCTTGATTTCTTCAAACATACAAAATATGCAAAATGAATATGGGTTACATAATAGGTATCAAAGAAACTCTGGAAAGTTATTAAAGCATGAAAAATACTTCTACGCCATTTTTTTTTGCAATTGAGGGCATTTGTAGCTTAAATTCCAGAACCATATCATCTAATAGTAGATAAA